AAGTTCTCAAACAGGAGGGGGTGGGGTGACCCCAGGGACTCACTCTATATTTCATTTTTGATTTGTTTTATTGTCCCATACATGAATATATATGGTTTAGGGGTGGGGATCTTGACCATTTCCAAGTTCTCAAACAGGAGGGGGTTGGACGACACTGGGGACTCCCCCAAATTATTTTCATTTGATTTCTTTTATTGTCCCATTCAAGTATATATATTGTTTAGGGTGGGGATCGCGACGGTTTACAAGATAAAAGTACATTTTCAAATTGAAGGGGTTGTGGTGACCCCCAGGGACTCACCCTATATTTTGGTTGATATTTTGTATTGTCCTGTTCTCATTACTGAAGACTGCATGTGTCTATCACCTACTGTTTTCGAGAAATAGTCATTTGAAAATTTAAAAAAATTAAATCCCATAGGGTTCTATAGTAAACCCCTCCCTTCTTCAGGCCCCTCCAAATACCCCTAAATAGACCCCAATGCACTAACAAAAGATTAATGGCTCCGCTAGACATGTTAGTCTAATATTTTATGAAACCCTAAGTAAATCTGACAAACGGTCAAAGTTGTCTTCTTAGACGGTTTGAGTGGATTCGGTCCGACTTGTCTCGGGGACGAGTTGTCCACATTACTTAAAACATCCCATCAACGTCGATTTCCGCATCTGTTTTCATGACCTCGTTTCATTCATAAAATAACAACAACCTTATTTGGCAAGATAAGTTAGAAATTACCACCCACTTATATAACTTTATTTCCTCTATCATAGAGATTTGTTGTACATGAACAATATTCCTGCGCATTTTGCCATTTTGGGAAATATAAACGACTTGTAATTACCGATTTTCGGCGATGAAATATTTCATACAATTGTTCTTTGACATTGTAGCCAAAAGCACAGGGGATAATAAACTACGTACGGATTTCTATTGAGCACTACTTCCTATGTGCAACTTCAAAAGTTTTGGGTAGTTCGACGATCATTTAAGGTTTTTCTGGTCATATTTTTTGTATTCCAGAAATAAAAGTATTAAAAAAATGTCCAATTAGTTATAAATAACATAATAGCCAGCTAGATAATAACAATGGCACGTATTTCAGCATTTATTGGGTAGAACACAAATCTAGGGTGCTCGCATAAGGCAGCTTAACTGCCTAAAAATGCAGATATCGAATACAAAGACACTTTGGCTCAAATTGATGAAATGATAGAGAAATATAAAAATACACACGAAATTATAGTATGTGGAGACATGAACGGGTCACTCCATAGAAGCTCTACACCTCATGATAAAATTCTACAAACTTTCTGCAAGGAAAAAATGTATAGGAAATACCGAGAAATACCCATTAAAAGAAACATTTTATCACCAGAATGGTAATCGAAAGGACAAATTGATTACTTCCTCTTCAAAAGTAACTCGGAAATAATAAATAAAATCAGACAAATTGATGTCCTTGATACTGACCCAGAGAATACCTCGGACCATGTACCTGTTATTCTGACACTGAATAGCCAACTGAAAAAAGTAAGGGAAAAAGCAACAACTATCATAGCAAAACCTAAATGGACTGACTGTGACCATCAAATTTATAAGGAAATCATCAATAAAGATCTACCAAACCTCATGCAAAAATCAAAAGGAATCATTGAGCAAGATATAAGAAATCTAGAAAAATTGCTACATAAAGCCGGAGAAGCGGCAATCCCAAAGTATAGAAGAAAAATCAAAATCAAATCAAAGGGAAAGGCGATATGGAATGAACAAATAGAAAAGGCATCAAAGCAATCAAAAAATGCACATAAAGTATGGAGGCAACATGGAGCACCTCAAGAAAGAAGTAACGAGCTCAAAATCAAAATGACAGCTGCAAAAAGAATACTTCGAAAAGCACAAAGACAAGCTTATGCCTCTCAGAGAGAATCAACAGCGGGAAAAATTATGAAAGCTTCAAATACAGACACAAAACTTTTTTACAAGCTTATTAACATGCAAAGAAAAACAACAATTAATACCAAGATACTGAAACTGAATGAAAAGACTGCAGAAGATGGACCAAGCATAATGAACATTTGGCAAGAACATTTCCAACAACTAGCTACGCCAACATTAGAGGAAAATTTTGACACTGAAAAGCTAGAGCTTGTAGAAATACAAAACAATATAATAGAATCCATAGAAAGGGAAAAAGGTCAAGGTATTGGTCATGTCAATGTAAAGGAGGTTAATAAAGCTATAGAAAAACTTAAAGCAGGAAAAGCACCGGATGAGGATGGAATTTCGGCAGAACACTACAAATATGGGATGGATGAGTTAACTCCCTTTATAGTACATTTGCTAAATTTAATTTTAACAAATCTGGATGTACCAATCTTCCTAAAGACAGGGATTCTTACACCAATCCTAAAGAAAGAAAAAGACAAAACATTACCATCTAGCTATAGAGGAATAACTGTGACTAAAACCTTTGCAAAAATATTACAAAGTATACTGAAGGATAGAGTTGACTGTATTTAATAACATACAAAACTCCTTGCAAAGAGGCTTTACAGAAGGAGTGTCATCACTATGCGCAGCTTTCCTCACATCAGAAGAAATCGAAGAAAGTAAGAAATTAAAGATACTGATGGTTTTAATAACTCTTGATGCAGAAAAAGCATTTGACAAACTAAACCATGAAGTACTATTCAACAAGCTGTACCATTATGGAATAAAAGGAAAGCCCTGGATACTACTGAGAAACTTGTATAAAGGCATGAGCATTAAGGTTAAATGGGAAGGTCAATGTACAGAAGATGTAATGGTGTTAAAAGGAATTCAACAAGGTGCAAAACTATCTACAACGCTATATAAATGCTACAACAACGTCATACTGGATAGCATCTTAAAAAGTGGACTTGGAGCATGTATTGGTGATATACAAGTCCCTGCACCCACATGTGCCGATGCCATTGCTGTCCTGGCAAATAGTACTGCAGACGCACAAGGAATATTAGACATAGTACAGCACCATACAAGCAGAGATCTAGTTAAAATCAATTCAACTAAATCTGAAGCTGTTTTATACAATGCAAAAGGCTCAAACATATCAACACTGCAATTCGAAGACGATGACATCAATATAACCAATGAAACCAAACATCTAGGTATCAAAAGAAACGAGCAAAACCGTCAAATATCTCAGAAAGAATAAGAACCGGAAGGGCAACAATATACAGCCTTCTTGGAGCCGGTTTACATGCCAGAAGGGGATTCTCACCCATGGTCGCATACAAGCTATGGAGAACATATGCAGTACCAAGAAGCATCTACGGACTTGAGGTGATGAACTTACTTGCAAAAGAAAAGGATATGCTAGAACTGGCAGAGAGAAAAATCCTCCGACAAATTCAAGGGCTTCCAAATAATACAGCAAATATGGCTGTCTATACCCTGGTATAGGAGCAGAACCTATTGCCATCACATTAGACAAAAATCTACTTACCTTCTTCATGAATATTGTTCGAAATTCAGGAACCATAGAATGTGAAATTCTGCGTCAACAAATAGCATTCTCAGACCAAAGAGGAAAAGACTTTATCAACAGAGTGGAAAAAAAACTCTATCAAAATACAATTTGAAATCTAGAGGTTTCTACATAGAAAAACCACTTAAGAAAATTGAATGGAAAAGACTAGTAGGAATAAAGATCAAGGAATACTGGAAAAATGAATGTCATTATGAAAAAATGGAAAAAAAACATCACTTAAATACATAGAGATACAGAACAATCCATTAAATGAAGCACACAATATATGGAAAAGCGTAAAAAATAGTAAAGATGTAAAGGCAAAAATAAAAGCAAGAATAAGTACTCAAACGTACATATTACAAGCCAAAAGAGCTAAGTTCGATCCGAAAGTTAACCCGATATGTACAATCTGTGAACAGGAAAATGAAGATCTAGAACATTTTATTCTACGCTGCAAAGAATTGGAACAAATAAGATCTAAATATTGCTCAAAAATCGAACAGACAATGGATGAAATTGATACCTCAACATACAAGAAGATCATACAACAAGGGAATTTACTGCAGTTCATAATGGACTGTACTAGCAAGGACATAAACTGTTACTCAACTGTGTATGAAAACATTGAAACTCTGGCTAGAAATATGTGCTACGAGATGCACATGCTGCGCACAAAAAGGAAAAAAAAATTGAACACAAGTACAGTATAAGTATAAGTAAACTTTTTTAAAATAAAATAGTTCCTTACTTTACGATCTTACTATTTTATGACTTATTAGGGCCTAAATTTAAATTTTTTGCAAAGTGTTAAGATATCAAGTACCATTAAAGAATAATGATAAGATCCGAAATAAGGTAATTTTAAACTGTGAAGGAATTTTAAACTGTGAAGGAAAACTTATCACGGTATATATAGGTTGAATTGTTCTAAACCCCAACCCTTTTACATAAGTCTTATAAAATAACCTTCTCGTTTTAAATTCTGATGTACGTGTAGCACCTTTAACTAACAATTATAAGAAAGTTTAATTTAGGACCACTTAAATTCTAAATTCTAATTTGTAAATATATCCGGTTCTTACTTAACTTGTTCTTAGACACCTCAGCACATTATGAATATTATTTTTAAAATTTTATGATGACAATCCTATGAATTAATTAAAATATTAATTTTTAGTAATTATTATTGCCTAAATTCAGTCATCTGTACGTAATTAAATGTTTCCTTATGTTTTAAGTTGTATATAGTTGCTACAATTATACCCTATGGGTAGTGCTCCACAATTAATGGAGGAATATACAAGAAACTGAACTGAACTGAACCTGGCAGATTATTTTTAACTTATTAATTTCTAATTTTTAATAACTTTACAATTAATATAAGTAAATACCCTGCTCATTATTTTACAGTTTGAATTTTGACAATATGTTGAGTAAAACAAAAGTTACAGAATTAAACGTATCAAATATAATCGTCCTGGTTTTATTTGTCCTGTTAATATACCGGTACGAGTGTCCCCGGAAAACGATACTGTAAACATTGGTAAACAATATCAATATTGAAATAGGTAAAAACTAACATTGACTGATATGAAATGTAATCGATGATGAACTCAAAGTCACTTGTTTTCTATCCATGGCAAGAGCTACTATCCCTATATATAGAAAACAAGTGCCTGTGTTACCGAGTTGTCTAGTGTTGCCCGTACATTCTTGGCCTATCCCACAAAAATGTCATGCGAGGAATTTTGACACGCCTATCTTAGCGTCATTGACCTCTATGATGTAACTGTAAATTGTGCATTTCTAAAAAAAAATGAATATAACCCTCAACAAAGTGTTGACCAATGTACATTTTGTGTCTAGAATCAATAATAGAATAGAATAGAAAAAAAATGATATCAAGTAAAACAATTGCCTTATTTCTGGAGTAACCAGCTGCAAAATAAAAATTTAGCTCTTATAGTCCAGATGACCATAGGTCTGCAAATTGTCAAAAAATATCATCAGGACCATAAGAGCTACGGTTCCGCAGCTATTGAATTTGAGTAACAACATTTATAAATATTTTTACATGGATAATATAACCTATATGACTCTATTTATACTGAGTGTGTATATTTTGCTGGTTCGGCCTGCGGGTTGCGATGTATAAGTCAGTTGAACAATAAAGAGGGAAGAAAAAAAAAAATCAATAAAAACATTGATATACTTTTACAAGGTATTTGTGAAAAATTGTGTAAGAATGTGTATTACACAAACTTTTTGTGATTTTCAGAAAACAAATACAAAATATCAAAACCAAAAAGATCACTTATTTTAGAATTGATAAAAAGCAAAAATTGTAAACCAGGTAGGCCAGTGCTTTAGATAAATTACAAAAAGCAAGTGTACGAAAGGGAACTTTTCAGAAAGAAAATTCAAATTACATGATTACTTAAAATTTCCCTGAATTAAGTGGTTAAAAAAATAATGATCGTATTTGAGCAGTTTGTAATTTAAGTAATTTAAAAGTGTCCAAAGGTTGCTGCTGACTGCCATTGGCGATTAATATAATTATATTAAAGATATATATATATATACTTTACTTCCTATTTGTTTGTGTTTCTTCTTTTTCTCCTTTTCTTTAGATAATGATTTTAATTGAATATTATAGATAATTAGCCAGATTTACCAAATTTTTAAGGTCAGAAATTTATTGTGTGCACCATCTAACTTTAGGACGGACTTATTGGTTTTAGTGACAGATTTCTTCAGACAAAATTTTATATAACAAGTTTAATTGTTTCAAATGAAGGATTTATGTCCTTCTGTCAAATCTAATTGATTAAAAGTAAAGGAGATGTAATAGTTATGTATTTGTAACTGTTTTGCTGTTCCTAAAAGGTATTGACGAAATGCTGAAACAATATTCCGGTAAAAAAATAAATGAATTCAGACCTGCCTCAGAGTGGATGATGGATGAAGGACGTGGTCTCCATTCAGCACTGGAAACCAAATATGGTGCAATTTACTGTCAGGACAGAGTTGTTACCTGCCAACTACGTTTGAATATGTGTAGAAATAGACACACATCTTCCGTTTTTATAGGCAATGATGACAAACTGATTAGCTTGGACTATTCACAAACCTGCAATGTTATCAAACAGTATAGCTAACACTCTAACTGAAGTGGGGATATATGCATTTGCATTAGAACCAAACTCGTTAAAACTGAACATTCCTTCAACATTTAATTATTCAGATTTTGAAAAACAGATATTAGCATTTAACTTCAAGTGACCCTTTTGAACTGACCTTTCTTCATGGCATTATCTCTAAATGCTATGGTTGTGATAAAAAATACACAAATATAAACAGAAAACCCCCAATAGATGTAATAATAAAACATTTGGAAGTACGTCCTCGTTTCAATAAAGACAAAAAGGAGTGGTACATTTCAGCTAATAAAGAAATATCAAATGGGTATTATCATTTACAGACTGACTGTGTGCAAAAAGTGCATCCAAATTTTAAGGCTGGCGATTTAATTATCACAAATGAACTAAGACAAACATTGTCAGAAGAGCACAGACATCATCTCACCAATTTAGGAATTGAACTTTATTGTTTGTTTTGCTTTTGCATATGTCATTTCATCAGACGCATTCTTTATATTACTTAAGTGAGAACACTGATAAATGTTTGCAATATGTACACGTGAATGGTTAAGAAACATTTTCTGCATTCTTTTCATTTTGATATTCCAATATGTATTTGAAGAAAAAAAAATTGTAGGTTCTGAATATTTTATTGCTAATCAAATAGACTGATACTATCAAGACTAACTGAAAGATGCATGAATGTAGTAATACTGTAACATTAATATGTACATATGTTTGTTGATACTTTGTACTGACTTTGTCTTCATTATTCCAAGGTAAAAGTTTCAATCATTATGCTGAATAAAGTCAATTTATCATTATTTACGAAACTGCTATGATAAAATTATTATATTATGCTATGGGTTTATTCATTGTCAGATTAAAAATTAATGAGTCTATGTTTGTTGAGAAAATCAAGATCGAGAAAAAAAATAATAGAGCAGCCAGCAACCCGCAGCCTGCAACCCACAGCCCGCAACCTGCAACCTGCAAAATAATGATACTGATTTATACTTTGATTCATTACACATGTTACATGTATATGAATGCTTTGTAATTATATGGTATGTTTTGAAAGATGGTAATTGTTGAATGTATATGCCCATGGGGATCTAATTTGGAAAACAAAATATCTTTATCTCTGTATCTATCCTACTCCGTGTTTCCTATCAGAACTTGCACACCATAGTAGCAACAAAGATGTATAAAGCCATAAGTAAAGTTCTTTATCTGCATTAAAAGTAGAAGATCATCGACATACTGGTCCAGTATCCTTAACCCTTAATCTTTCCTAGGGAAGGTCTTAACTTGTTCACTCCTGGCAATCTGCCTCCCTCCACCAATAAAAACTGACCATCATGAATGGCAAATTGTTAGTGTGGAAAGTGGCATTTAACATCAATCATTCAGTCAATCCTTAATTTTAAGGATAATAATGTGTCACCACTGTACTGAATCATTCATGTATGTGGATTAAGGTGATTTTCTCTCTGTGGTTTTTGTTTGTCCACTGTTAAGATTGAGGTTGAGGTGTACATGGTTCCAATTGTCTAAATCTTTCTGTTAAACATTACTGTCCGAATTAAATTCAGACTTTTTCTCCAATAATTTTTAATTCCTTTGAAATATTCTTTTAACATAACAATGATCATGATGATTACCTTAAGGTTTGGCACTGTAGAATCAGACATATTTTAAAACTCCTCTTATATATAAACAATAAAAAATGGGTTACTAATATGGTGATTTTTATGGGAATATTTTAAGGGTATGTACATGTACAAGCTTAATAATCATCATGCATGCAGCTACCAATTTACCTATCAATCTAGATAATGGAAATTTCCTGTTGATATGAAAATATGTCATCTTGTGGCAAGTAGAGAAGGAGATACACAAACATGTATATCAAATGAACCAAACATATTGTCAATCTGTCCATAAATTCTAAATTTTCTCCTTTTGTTAAATCTTAACTGATCATGAATTTAGGTCATAGGCGGATCATGGGGGCCCGGGCCCCCCCTTTTGTGGGAAAAATTTGGTTGATTATATAGGGAATCACTGAAGCATGACAGGAGCGGGCCCCCCCTTATGAAAAGTTCTGGATCCGCCACTGTAGGTCACATGAGTTCAACAAGTACCCTTTATTATAGAGGAGCACATAATTTTTTAAAGTAAGATGTGATATTAATTTCACATGCATGAAACTTTGGTGAATTGTTTATACCTATGACATGAGCTCCCTTTCGTTTTTTATAAATTTCAGATTTACTGTTTCCGAGTTTTGGGGTTTTATTCATTAAAAAAGGGGGGATTTTCCAGTTTGTGGACAATAACTCAAAAACAATTTCACCAATTTGCAAGGAACTTTGGTGAATTGTTTATTTCTATCGACATGAGCTCCCTTTTGATTTTTATAAATTTAAGACCATACATTTCCGATTTACGGGGTTTTATTCATTACAAAAAGGGGGATTTTCCAGTTTTGGGACAATAACTCAAAAATGCTTTCAGCTTTTTTTATGAAACTTTGGTGAATTGTTTATATCTATTCAGTATTGATGTAAGCTCCCTTTAGAATTTTATAAATTTTAGATTTTACATTTCCGAGTTATGGGGTTTTATTCATTTAAATAGGGGGGATTTTCCAGTTTTTGGTCAATAACTCAAAAATGATTTCACCAATTTGCAAGGAACTTTGGTGAATTGTTTATTTCTATCAACATGAGCTCCCTTTTGATTTTTTTAAATTTTAGACTAGACGTTTCCCATTTATGGGGTTTTATTCATTACAAAAAGGGGGATTTTCCAGTTTTGGGACAATAACTCAAAAATGCTTTCAGCATATTTTATGAAACTTTGGTAAATTGTTTATATTTATTGTTGTAAGCTCTCTTTTGATTTTTATAAATTTAAGATTTTACGTTTTCCGAGTTATAAGATTTTATTCATAAAAAAAGGGTTGATTTTCAAGTTTTTGGACAATATCCTTAAAGTGATTAGAGCAGTTTTCACTAAACTTTGATGACCGGTTTATATCTATTAAGATAACCTCCCTTTAGTTTTTTTTATAAATTTCTGATATAACATTGAGAAGTTATTGTTTTTTTATAGTCTGTCAACAAATTTACTAAGTATTGCGCAACAGCACAGTGTATTGCACAACAGCACTAAATCTTTAATTGAATATAAATTCAATTCATATAACCAATTTCAAGTTCTTTGACTACATTTATTCAGAAACCTATAATATGTCAAATAGTTAATTACAATCCAAATTCAAACCTGTATCAAGCTTGAATGTTGTGTCCATTTTTGCCCCAACTGTTCAGGGTTGGACCTCTGCCGGCGTATCCAGCTGCGCTCAGCGAAGCAGTTTATTGGTTATTATCTTGAATAGTATTAATGATAAAGATAAACTGTAAACAGCATATATGTTCAGCAAAGTAAGATCTACAAATAAGTTTATATGACTAAAATTGTCAATTGACCCCTTAAGGAGTATTGCCCTTTGAGGACAATTTTACACAATTTGTTTATCATGTTTTCTAACTTTAAAAAATCTTCTCCTCTGAAACTACTGAACCAATTCCAACCAAACTTAAGCTGAATGATCCTTAGGGTATCTAGAATAAAGATTGTGTTTTATTTTCTGTTTCGTCAAAAACATGGCCACCATGGCTAAAATTAGAACATAGGGGTAATATATCTCAAACACTTAAGCAATTAGAGCAAAACTGATGAGAGGTCAAAATGTTCATTAGGCCAAGTTCTATCAGCCATGAAATTTTCAGACAAATCTAACAGTCCATTGTTGGGTTGCTGCCACTAAATTGGTAATTTTAAGGAATTTTGCAGTTTTTGGTTATTATCTTGAATATTATTAATGATAAAGATAAACTGTGATCAGCAAAAATGTTCAGCAAAGTAAGATCTACAAATAAGTTCATATGACCAAAATGGTCAAATGTGTCCTTAAGGAGTTATTGCCCTTTAAAAACAATTTTTCACAATTTGTTCATCTAGTTTGCTTACTTTAAAAAATCTTCTCCTTTGAAACTGCTGAATCAATTTCAGCCAAACTTGGGCTGAATGAGTTTCAGAGTATCTAGTATAAATTTTGTATTTTATTTTCTTGTACGTCAAGAAACATAGCCACTATGGCTAAAATGAAACATAGGGGTAAAATGTATTTCTTTGCTTTTGAAGAAAATATGACAGATACAAAGAACATCTCAATGGAATTTTTAAGCCACTCATTAATATATATTAAAAAGCAAAAATAATCATTGATGAAAGATTTAAGCAAAAAATTGCAGGTGAGCGATTCAGGCTCTTGAGAGCCTCTTGTTACTTAATGGTAATTATATAATTTTGAGTGACAAAAAGAAAAAACTTAACATGAATAAAAAGTAAAATGAATAATAATTTGATAAATAAAATAAATGAATAAATAAATAAATAAATTGATGAATAAAAAATAAAAGATAAAAACAAATATAACTTAAATTAATAAAAGGAAATAAAACAAAATTTTATAATAAAGAACAAAAAAAAATAACATAAAAATAAAAATAGGAACCACCTAAAGGAGGAAAGGCCAAGCAAATGACAGTGAGCGGCAGTTACATTGTCATGGTACACCAGCAGCCAAGGAAAAGGCGGAGAAATTTAATATGCCAAATTGTGTATGTGAATTTAGTTGCCAAAATATTTTGAATAAACCCAAATAGGCCTAAATATGTGTATGTGAATTTAAGAAAAGTAATTAGTATAAGGTTTTATATGTACATAAAAAAAGAATAAGTAAAAATAAAATAGAACAAAACAAAACAAAAGGGTGTTTGTATAATTTTGACAGTGCTTTGTGCTAGCCTACTGTTATTGCAGGACTATAAAGTGCTAGTATACCAGAACTAAACGTTGTCCGCAGGAAGACTAAAAGCTCCACTAATCACCCACTATAATATAAGGCACTTGCTTAAAAAGGTCTGACTTTGACATGAAAACTTCTATCATAATGACATTTTATAAATAATTAGTTCTTACAATTGTTTGGTTAGTCAATAAATTATTGCTTTGTTTTCTAACAGGAAGTTATTGGGTAATTGTAATTGGATATTTTTTTCTTTAAAAATTACTGAAATTCTGGCACTAAAGGGAAATAATTTTAATTCAGTCATTGTAAAAAAAAAAATTCAATCAAAGATACCAGGCTGATGATTTTGAATGCCAGACCCAAGTTTGTCTACAGAAGACTCATCAATAAAAAATCGAAATGCCAAATTGAGTACGAAGTTTATTTAGAGCATTAAGGAAACAAAATTTTCGAAAGGTTTTGCCAAATACTGCTTATTAGATGTTATAAGTAATCTAATCATCAGGGGTAGAAAACCCAAGCTGCTCAGGGTTTGACCTCTGCGGTTGTATCAAGCTGCGCCCAGCGGAGCATTTTATTTATTATAATTTGGATATATGTTTTAGTATTTTATAAATCAAAAATGAGAATTTGAGTCAAATCGGTGAACATGAGTTTGACAGCTAATGCCCCTTTAAGCACAATATCTCTAATTCAATCATTAATTTTTACAAACTACATTGTAAATTTGGATGACATTTACTATGAGGGTCTGGATGGGGTCCCTCATTTCTTTATTCTTTAATTTGTATCCGTCCATACATCCCAACATTGGTTTCCATTCTCTAACTTTAGTTTGCCTCAACCAAATGTTATGAAACTTATACACAATGCTTATTACCATAAAACTCAGCCCAAGTTTGAATTTAGGTGGCGTCACTTTTACCTTTCTAGAGTTATGCCCCTTTACAAATGGAAAAATTGCTGAATTGTTCCTTTCCGTTCTCTAACTTAAGTTTGCCTCAACCAAATGTTAAGAAATGTATGATGAAAACTAACCAAACTAAAGAGGGTTAGCTATGCGTGCATGGCTAAGGTTAATTTTACTTTCACTGATATTTCAGTATGAACTAACTAACACTCTTAGCTATGCACGCATGGCTCACCCTCCTACATTGAGTTTTCATCATACATTTCTAATCAATTTTCCAGAATTCAAAATAAATCCAGATTCAAATAGTTCCTTGTTTTAACTGTGTTAAACCACATGAACTCATAAACAAATAAGTATTTTAAACTGAAATTAATAATACCAACATATAAATGCACACATCAAGTAATTTGATGTAAAACAAATTCCTTGTTTAAAATAGAATATCACCAGAAAAACTGTTCACTTTAATAAGATTTGATAATGGACAGGAAAAGAAAACTGGCCACTTTAACCATAAAGAAGTAATACAATATGATTTATTTGTTTGTATTTGATTTAGTTTAACCAAACAAAGAATCTTTGTTTTATTGATAATCCCTGAAAACATTTCAGGGAATTTGTAGAATAATTCTTAAAATTTTCAGTGATTATCTTAAATCACTGGTCATTTTCACTAATGATTTAGACACAAACTCTTTGCTCATCTTTCTATTAAAATAACATGCTTTACCTTGTAATGTGTTTTAATTAATTTTTCTTCCTGTTAACAGAATACTTAATTGCATATTAAAGCCAAGGTATCATTATTGAGCAAAAGCTCACAGTTCTACTGTTTTTTGTTTTACTAAAATGTTAGAATATATGTTTCTCTAATGATTTGATTAATAATACAGAGTGTAACATTCCTTGAGAAATACATATGGTTGAAATTGAACTAGACAAATTTAATCATGTGAATTTAATATTTGTTTTATTAAAATTGGTTATAAACATTTAAATGTATACAGAGTAGGTGAAACATACAGCTACATGTAACTCAGGATGAATTCAGCAGTATCACATCTTACAAAGTATTAGTATGTATAAAGAAATAAATAGTCATTAGGCAGATTCTTTTATTATGAACTAATTAATTTTTTATTTCAGGTGAAGGTAAATGGATAGCTGTTAAAAGATAATGTAAAAACCAAGTTCATATGAAGTAATTTATAGCAGAGTATCAAAGATGGACTATATACCAGAAAGCCCATATGAGCGTATGCGACCTATGAGAGAGGACTTCAATTTACGACTTAATACATTTACTAACTTTCCTCGGAATAGCCCTGTTAAACCCCTTGACCTTGTGAGGGATTATTTCTATTACATTGGAATTGAAGACAAATGTCAGTGTACACATTGTGGAGGTGTTCTTGGTGGATGGATGCCTGGAGATGTAGTTCACAGGGAACACCGAAAACATTTTCCTGACTGTCCCTTTATTCAACAGTGCTTACAAAATCAACAACCAGTAATTTCTTTACAATCCTTAAATCAAAGTGATGTTTCACAGGAATACAATTTTGGGCAAAGTTTTGGACATAATTTTGGACATCAATCAAGTTCTGGAGCTCCAGTTGCCATGGAAACCACAGTTTCACCAGAAACCCCTGCTGATAAGCCAGGAGTTACAAGACCTAAGTATAGAGAATATGCTTTAGAGCAGACTAGATTATCTTCATATACTGGCTGGCCATCACAAATGAAGCAAAAACCTGAAAATCTTGCCAAAGCTGGATTCTTTTATTTGGGTAATTACATATTTTATACGGACATGCTGGAAAGAGACAGACGTTTTGCTAGCATGTAGGATACTTTGGTTGAATTTTTCAAATTATGGAAGAAATTTGAATTGAAAATAGTTCCTTTAATTCCTAGTATATGTACATGCTGAGTTGACAAAATGTAGCACTATGATCTTGATACCACATAACCATGTACATGTAGCACTATGATCTTGATACGTGACATAACCATGTACATGAAGCACTATGATCTTGATACCACATAACCATGTACATGTAGCACTATGATCTTGATACCACATAACCATGTACATGTAGCACTATGATCTTGATTACACATAACCATGTACATGAAGCACTATGATCTTGATACCACATAACCATGTACATGTAGCACTATGATCTTGATACGTGACATAACCATGTACATGAAGCACTATGATCTTGATACCACATAACCATGTACATGTAGCACTATGATCTTGATACGTGACATAACCATGTACATGTAGCACTATGATCTTGATACCACATAACCATGTACATGTAGCACTATGATCTTGATACCACATAACCATGTACATGTAGCACTATGATCTTGATACCACATAACCATGTACATGAAGCACTATGATCTTGATACCACATAACCATGTACATGTAGCACTATGATCTTGATACCACATAACCATGTACATGTAGCACTATGATCTTGATACGTGACATAACCATGTACATGAAGCACTATGATCTTGATACCACATAACCATGTACATGTAGCACTATGATCTTGATACGTGACATAACCATGTACATGTAGCACTATGATCTTGATACCACATAACCATGTACATGTAGCACTATGATCTTGATACCACATAACCATGTACATGTAGCACTATGATCTTGATACCACATAACCATGTACATGAAGCACTATGATCTTGATACCACATAACCATGTACATGTAGCACTATGATCTTGATACCACATAACCATGTACATGAAGCACTATGATCTTGATACCACATAACCATGTACATGTAGCACTATGATCTTGATACCACATAACCATGTACATGAAGCACTATGATCTTGATACCACAAATGCATACTATAAATGAACAAAATAATTTAAGATTTTTCTTTAAAGTCAGGACAATAAAATGAAATTTAAATGTATGAAAATGTTTCTGCAATTACCATTGACTTTTCATTTTACATTGTATTTGTTACAATAGGCCAAGGAGATAAAGTGAAATGTTTCTTTTGTGGAGGCATATTATGGGACTGGGATCCTGATGATGAACCATACACAGAACATGCCAAGTGGTTTCCTAAATGTCCATGGTTATCACTAAGTAAAGGGGATGCTTTTGTTGACAGAGTTCAAAAGGTCAGTAGATAATAAGATGCTGAATTGTTTCCTAAGTGTCCCTGTTGTCACTAAGTAAAAGGGATGCCTTTGTTGACAGAGTTCAAAAGGTCAGTAGATAATAAGATGCTGAGTGGTTTCCTAAATATCCCTTGTTGTTACTAAGTAAAGGTGATGCCTTTGTTGACAGAGTTCAAAAGGTTAGTAAATACATGTAATAACACACTGAGTTATTTCCTAAATGTCCCTGGTTGTCACCTCAGTAAAGGTGATGTGTTGACAGAGTTCAAAAGGTTAAAGAATTATAATATGCTGGTTTCCAAAATGTCAATTGTTATCTGTTAGTTAAAAAAATGCTTTTATTCACCAAGATTAATAAGCCAGAAGATGAATTATGCTAAGTGATTAGAAAAATGTGCTAGTTTATTGGTCTTTTTTAAGTTGTTGTCTTATGTTTCTTTCCTTGCATGGTGTTGTCAGTTTCTCTTGAATTTTGCCTCCTTTTTTTAAGGAGTACATGTTGGTCACCCAACTTGATAAATTAATTTATCAAAACATGTTTTAGGTTTAGGTCAGATTTTCAGATACATATACTATAAGCCACAGGTGAACTGTATTTGGTCTGGTGAAATCAAAGTAGGGTAAACAAGTCCATATGATGGGTATCAGTTAATCTGTTATTTTTACTCACAACTGTTCATGTGTTAAGGGTCTTAGGATAATGTTAACATATACATTTAACCTTCTGGAATCATTTGTCTTGTATAATATCAAGTGTAACATAACAATAAAAGGAGTAAAGGATTGAAAAATAGAAGTTCAGTAATAAAATAATGTTATAACACACAATTTAAAATAAATAATGGTTCTGCTTAATATATTTATATACTATGTTATAAATGTTGGTACAAGAACAGAGATTATTCCATATCCCCAAAAATTGTAAATACTTAGTATATGGAGTTGGTGACAAGTAACATGAAGATAATCTGAATCCCTAGAATATTTACCTGTTAAACTCCTACAGTTGTACATTTAGTTTTGTTCAATTTCTCTTTTTTATGCCCTTGCCGTAGCAGAGGGGGCATTAAGTTTTACCCTTGTCCGTCTGTACGTCCGTACGTCCCGAAATTGGTTTCCTCTCGCTGACTTTTATTAGTTTGCCTCAACCAAATGTTATGAAACTTATAAACAATGCTTATTACCACAAAACACAGATCAAATTTGAATTATGGTGGCATCACTTTTACCGTTCAAGAGTTATGCCCCTTTACAAATGGAAAAGTTGCTAAATTTTTTTCGTTTCCTTTATCTTAACTTAAGTTCGCCTCAGACAAATGTTATGAAACTTATACACAATGCTTATTACCACAAAACTTAGATCAAGTACGAATTTGGGTAGCATCACTTAAACCATTCTTGAGTTTATTTCCCTTTTTAACGTTATATGTAAGCGGGGGCATAATCTCTATTTCTCTTGGACACATTCCTAATTTTTTATTTATATGATATTTAGCTTTCGGTTGCTTTAGACATTTAATGACCTAATAGGTGAAAGTTTATTGCACCTTTTATGATTAAAAAACATGTTGCTGAGAGTTGATGAGAGTTCATGTTATGATTTTTCTTTACAGGGCTTGATGACAATGAATATCGGTATGTATACTATGTATGAAAGAAGCAGGTTTTTGATGTAACGTGCAAAAAGGGATAATTTGGTATCCCCTTAGCCTACTAAAGAAGAGTTTATTGTGATCCATCATGTCCATTTATTCATGTGTATCAGTATGCATTAATATTTTTGTTTTGTTTTTTTGTCGTCCACGCTACGTGATGCGGGGGACATAGAAATACCGGGTGTTCATCTGTCATCTGGTGTTGTAAGCGCTATCACGTGTACAATTCTTGCCAGATTTTTATGAAGCTTATATCAACGATGTCTCAGACAAGTCTGAAAATCAGTGGGGATCAACTATTTTTAAAAGAGAAATGCCCCTTGGAAATATTGATTATATGGAACATTTCATTGTTAGCGCTCTCATGTGTACAATTCTTGCCAGATTTTTATCAAATTTATATAAAAGTTTTATATAAGCAATGTCTTGGAGAAGTTCGAAAATCTGTGCTGATCAAATATTTTTAAAGAAGTTGAAAATATTAATTATATTGGATATTGCATTGTATTTCCTCTCAAGTCTCCAGTTCTCCAACATATTTGTAAACGGTTTTAAAGAACAAAAAAAAAGTTTTTTTTTAGTTATTGCCCTTGGATAGATAAAATATGTGCAATGTGGGGGACTGTTCATTTATTGTTGTTGATTATCTAACCATTTATTGAACCTTATCCTATATAGGGCAGAATATTATTATATTTTAACTTAAATGTGTATGACATTTGCTTATTTATAAACTTGATAAAGACTATTTTCACTTCTTGATTTTTTATATGTGTTTCATTACCTGTATAAAAGAGCAGATCTTCAATAGGTTTTCTTATAAAAGAGTGAAAGCAGAAACAATGAAATTAAATGACAACATAATGAATAGCATATTTGATTGACGTTTCTTCATCAATTGTCAGAAACAGTGCTCACAATTTAACTTTCCAGCTTTACAGGCTGGTCAGAAACAGATATATAACTATGCACAAGTTAACATGGAACTTATAAACACTTAAAGTTTAGAAGTGATGTTTCTATTTTAAAGGTGAATCTACAGAACAGACTGTTGCTAAGACTTTAGAAGAAACACAACCAAAAGAAATCCCTGAAGATTCAAAACCTAGTACATCTGCACAGGCTGCTATAAGTCCTCAAAAGAAATTCACTTCAGAACAACATCTTAATGAAAAAGAACAACTAAGTATGTATGCAGTTATCATGGTTATACTAATATATAATGCATTGTCATGTAGAATCAGGTTTTATACCACTTCCTTACAGTTGAAAAACTATGCATTTGTTTCTTCATGGATATTAAATACATTACCAGAATGATATAGACCAAACATTCAAACATTCCAGATAATACACTAAGATGCAAATTGTGTGACCAACTAAATTAGTTCATTCCTTTTCAAAAGAAAAAAAAATATGTATAAAAAATAAGAAGATGTGGTATGATATATAATACTGGAATATAATCATATATATATATATATATATATATGATAGTAATTGAAAACATCTGGACAGAATTACACCAACTTGTAAAGTATTCCCCATTCCAAACTAAAGAGTTGGTCCTGCTTTGTTTCAAGTATTTTGTCTTAGGGAGGGATAAATCTATATACAGAGCATATATCTCCCAGTTGATACGATATTCCAGGAGTTTTATTTCCTATCATGATTTCCTTGAAAGAAGGTTGCTGCTCAGAGGTGAAGTTGAAATCATCCCATCAAAAATTTTACAGACGCTATCACGAGTTGGTTGATAGTTACAGCATATCTGTTTCACAGATGACAACAGATATTTCCAATTGACTTAACTACAATTCCGTCCCCTTTTTCCTGACTTACTGAATAAGACTTATCACAGGGTTTGTACTAACATGAGCACACGAGTACATATGGAGCAAGATCTGCTTAACCTTCCGAGGCAAATGAGATCACCCCCAGTTTTTGGTGGGGTTCGTGTTGCTCGGTCTTTAGTTTTCTATGTTGTGTTTTGTGTACTGTTGTATGTCTGTATGTCTTTTTCTTTTTTAGCCATGGCATTGTTAGTTTAGTATTAACTTATGAGTTTGTATGTCCCTTTGGTATCATTCGCTTCTCATTTACACAATGTGTTTATATATGCAGTAGCATATTCATTGTCTCAGTTAAACTCCTACGCAATTTACCCTTCACTTTTATAGCACAACAGGCCAAATGTTTATAGTATGATCTTTTTGCTAGTAGTAAAAAAAATAGACAAACAAAATAATAAAAGAATATTATGATACTGTTCCTGTATATTTTTCAGTTCAGAGGTAAAATTCTAAAGTAAGTTTTAGGCTATTTTCCACCTTCTGGATTGACTTATGTGCACCACAAGATGGGGGTGCCTTAGATTTTGTTAGCCAAAACAAAAGTCAGATCCAGGAAAACAGCTAGCTAGAATGGTCAACTATTTTAAAATGTTTTAGCTAATTAATATTTCATTCTTCAAGTTTATAAAAGGCTTTCAGCCCATAGATATAATAAAACTTGTGTGATTAAACGTGTAAACAGATGTCTTCAATTTATTATTATGTCTCTTTTTTATAGATGTTACAGACATTATTGCAGAAAACAGAAGAATAAAGGAAGAAAAACAGTGTAAAATATGTATGGACGAAGATGTTAGTGTAGTCTTCTTTCCATGTGGACATTTGTCATGCTGTCCTAAATGTGCAGTAGCATTGGACAAATGTCCGATATGTCGAAAAGATATTGAAAAACAAGTGAAAATCTATTGGTAATATAGGTATGGAAAAAAAGTCGAAAATGTGAAAAACTGTGATATTTTAAAATTTAGACTATTGAAAATTTTTGTTTAAACATATTTTATACAAAAAATTTCAATAGTCTAAATTTCAAAATATCACAGTTTTTCACATTTTCGACTTTTTATTAGGTTTAAAGTCTGACTAAGTACTGTTAAAATGAGGCAGTAGATACCATGGAGATATTCGAATCTCATAAGTTAAAGAGACACTGACAATGCTTTGGCAAAAAACAAAAATCTTAGAAAAGTACAAATAAGTACACAAAACACAACATAAAAAACTAAAGACTGAGAAAAAACACCAACCCCATCAAAAACACAGGTTATCTCCAGTTCTCAAGACGTGTAAGGAAATCCTGCTTCGCTTTTTTGGTTATGTCACAATCAAGAAAAAATGGACAGGATTGCGGTAATTCCAAATGGAACATATCTGTGACACATTTAACCAATAACGGTCAACCAATCATGATAGCATCAACTTTACCCCTTGGAACCTTTGGTTCAATAGCCTCTATGTAAGTAGCAACCTTCTTTCAAGGAAATCATAATAGGAAATTCAAGTTCTGGAATATTAAATCAACTAGGATATATATTCCATATGCAGACTATGCTGGAATGTTGCTACATAAAATGGAAAGTTTACAATTGGGAAGCTGAAATCCCTTTTGTCGTAAAGTTTTGTCTGCAACTGACCCTCATTGTCAATTTCTAGATGTAAGTCAAGATATGAGGCAGACTTATCTGTATCTGTTGTATCATTTATTTCAAGTGCAATAGGATAGATACATTCATTATAGTCACCAAACTTTGAATTATTAAGTAAAAAGCAGTAGAATTAAAAGGACTGTGCAAGGCACAGCATAATATGACCAAATCACATGGCTACAAAGTAAAAGTTACAGAAGTGTAAAATAAAAGTATGTGTAGATGAAATTAGTGTGCTTGACTCAGTAATATCCTTGATAAATGTTAGACACACAATGTGTTGAATAAAGTTGTGTGCTTCCTATTGTCCTGGTATGTCTAAAACAGTAAGCATTTCTAAGTAAAAAGAGTAGAAATTAAAAGCATTTCTCAAATTAAAAAAAATGAAATTTTACAAAGTTTCAATATGGAATTGCAAATAAGAAATAACATTCCTGTCATCAGTTTTATTTTTAACTAACTCCAGGAAATTAGAATGAGGTAATTGATTTTTTAACAGACTTTGCAATTATACTGAATGCCAAGGGGGAATATTTGCTATGTAAATTATTTTAATTCTGAAAATTTTGTTGTTGCTACCAATTCTTAAAAAAAAAAATGAGAAGATAAATAACCATTTAAGTGAGTGTTTTTGTAAGTTTAAAGATTATGTTTCGAAATTTTTTTAAATTGTCTTTTTTGTTTATTCACACAAGCACTGAATTTATTCACCAGATGTTAGTCTTAATGTAAAGCATTTGGCTCATTGGCCCAAAAATATTTTTTTCACAAAATTTTTATATATCAAAAGTATTGTTACTACTCTTTTGAGAAAATAATTACTAGGTCTAATACATTTTCAATGGTATATGGGGCAGTAGGCTTCTTATTATCATATAGTCTTGTTTATTTCACTCTTGTTATAGATATATCAGGTTTTTATGTATATGTATGAATATTTCGTTATTTATTTAATAATTATATAGTGATTATGGATATTGTACATATGAACTTAAAAAACAAACACAATGCAGATGTTATTGTGTCAATTGTTAAAAAGAAACACAATGCAGATTTTATTGTGTCTATTGTTATGTTTACCAAAAAACTAAGAAGGAAAATATTTTATAACAACAGAAAAACAGCAATGTTGTTGTGATGAAAAAGTTTGATGAAAAACTACTGAATTTTGTCAAAATAATTTTTTATTTTACTAAACATTATTTACATTGTATTTGTACTCTATAGAAAAGTATTCATTATATCAATGGTCAAGCATGATTTGATAGGCTATATAAATACTGATAGTACTTTTTGCACTACAAAACTGTTTCATCTTACTTGTATACTATACTGACACTCCTTTAATACCAATTGTTTACCAGGGGCGGATTCAGGCGGGGGCGTGTGCCCCCTTAAATTTGCAAAGCATGGGTTATCCTCAGCTTAATAAAGAATATTTCAATAATTTTACCTAAAAAAAATTTCGCCTCGATTCGCTCGGCAGTGGTGTAGCAAGGTTTTGTGATCAGTTGGAAAGGGGTGGGGCAGGGTTGTATTATAAGTAAAAAGGTGTTAAACTGGCTTAGGAGTTGGTTGGAAGCTTTTTGTGTTGGCATGAGGTGACAGCCAAAAACAAATAGAGCTACCGAACACCAACTGGGAAACTCTGCTTCTCCATGGCCAATAACAAAGTAAACAATAAATTCTTTATGCAAAGTTAACCCACTGGTTAAAAGTTCTTGAAGAAAATTACATACTCAGTTAAAATACTAAATCCCTGGGATGTGTTTTAGTTGATTTTTGTCTCTGATGCATGATTTTTTATTATTAATTGTTTTTGGCTTTTAAGGTGGTACATAACACTACAGGGAGATAAATCTGTAAAAGTCAGCTGAACCTTTCAATCACGTCCTATTGTTAAGGAAATATTAAGCTTCTAAATGATAAAAATTTGTGTTTGTCAAACTGCTATATATCCAATGAAATTTTTCCGATAAAGTGTGTGGTTCAAGTTTTTTGAAATTTTTATATTTTTGTCAAAGGGTCAAAGTTAATGTTTTGTCAAAATTTCATGAAAATTGAACTAGCCAAGTTAATTTTAGTCAAGGTGTTTGGTACCACCTTAACTAGCTGTCAGTAACTGTGAGTACTCTCAAATCGTACTTTCTTAATTTGACCTATTGATACTATTTGTAATGCTTTTTTGTTATTTAATGTTTACTTATTCAGGGTTATATCTGGTCTATATACCAGCTTTGATAAGTGTTTGGTATTACTATAAATTTTCACTTCTTCGTACTGTGAACATCAAAATTATTTATTTTGTAAAAATATTTCCTTTCTCCATTTAAACTGTATACCTACAAAATTATTTTCATTTACCTGTGTATAATATTATTGTAAATGGCAGATTTTCTTTCAATGTTATTGTTGTTTTTCTGAAATTGTTTAACATTTCGCAGCGGTATAATACTGTTACTTGAATTATTCTTCCCTTATTTTATTGATTTTGTATTTATTATCATAGATCAAATTTATTCATTCAGTGTATGTTCACTTGTGTTAATATGTCTTTTGATTGAGTTAAGCCATTTCAATTGATATTTTATAGTGTGTCATTCTATTTTGTGATGTTACACTATTGTTTCAGATAAGGGTGAAGGTTTGGTACCATTAAAACATTTAAACCCGCTGCAATTGTTTGCACCTGTCCTAAGTCAGGAATTTGATGTTCAGTAGTTGTCGTTTGTTTATGTGGTTCATAAGTGTTTCTCGTTGCTCGTTTTTTATATAGATTAGACCGTTGGTTTTCCCGTTTGAATGGTTTTACACTAGTTATTTTTGGGGCCCTTTATAGCTTGCTGTTGGGTGTGAGCCAAGGCTCTGTGTTGAAGACCGTACTTTGACCTATAATGGTTTACTTTTATAAATTGTGACTTGGATGGAGAGTTGTCTCATTGGCACTCATACCACATCTTCTTATATCTATCAGGTGGTAAAAGAAACTTAAGTATCGTGAAAAAAGAGGTGACTGCCTGGCTGATCAGAAAATTGCTTACATGAAATACAGATACTTGAAGATTTAAATTGGATTTTTTTTGTTAGTGTAAAATGAGCAGGATAACTTGGATTTTGATTTATTGATCTATAAATGAATTGCACAATCATGTTGTGATGTTTTACGAGGAGCGTGTCATAGCATTTAAAAGATATAATTAAACACAAACTGTTGTCCAACAATATATATATTTAAAAACTTTACATTTTTGTCTTGTTAATGAGTTGTTTGATTTGTCCTTTTAACATAGTCAACCCATAATTTTTAGTTCTCATGGTAAACTAATATTTCATAGCAAAAGTTATCTTGTATTGGAAAAATTATTAATTTGACAATTTTTTTTCTGATATTCTGCCAAATTAAGATTTCAGCATAATTCAGTAACATAATATGTGTGGATACACTATAGAACCCTTTTCAAGTTCAATGGTAGACACTTGAGAGGGACTGACTTATTCAGTTACACCTATTGCTTTTGTTGTCTTGATAATCTTTTTTGCCTACCTCAGTTAGTACTGGTTGACATTTTAATGCCCCACGTTAGCAGAGGGGGCATTAAGTGTCACCCTTATCCGTCTGTCTGTACGAACATCCCGAAATTGGTTTCCTTTCTCTAACTTTAGTTTGCGTCAACAAACTGTTATGAAACTTATACACAATGCTTATTACTACAAAACTCAGATCAAGTTTGAATTTGGGTGGCGTCACTTTTACCGTTCTTGAGTTATGTCCCTTTATAGTGTTATATGCAAGCGGGCGCATCATCTGTGTCCCAAGGACACATTCTCTATTTATTCTCTATGTTTTACAGTTGTATAAATCATTCAATTAGCACTTAGTTTTATAGAACAAGTATAAGCAATCAAAATTTCATTTTAATGTTAGTATTTAAATATAGGTGTGCTTTAACTGCAGTATTCTACCAAATTTCATTATGACAATTCTTGTTCTGTAATATGTTTAAATTGTTTGTACAGTTTAGATGTTAAATCTATTATCCACATGACAAAAAGCTTTCTAGGGTTAACCCCTCTTCTAAATACAATGATATCATTGACCCCATCAATAACATTGTTTATAAATTGATATGTGGAAGTAAATTGTAGAAAAAACACTGGAGTGTGATAATGATGAATCCACCCTCATGCTTTCTTTCTAACTCTTTCCTTTCTTTTTTCTCCCTATGAAATTTTGCATGTGTTTAGTTTTTATGGTTCACCTAAGTGTGTCATTTTGTCAATGGTAACTATGCCACTTATTAAGTTGTTATTAAGGTCGCACAACAGTCCAAGTCAGAAAAAATTAGGATGCTTGTATATAAATAGATAAAACTGTGTCATTTAATACGATATTAAGAGAAATTAAAATATTTCAGGAGAGATAGCCAAAAATCATTTCCAAAACAGTCAGTAAACCAGCATTACCTACATGTTTCTGAATGACTATTTGGAAGAAAATAAAAATAAAATGACATCATTCTTATTCTAAAATTAAGGCCATCAGCTTCAGATATGCTAAAAGAATGTTTTTTTCCATCATAAAGAGTGAAAAGTGCTACTAAAGTTTTGTAAGAATTTGATATGAGGTCCAGATAAAGAATGAGTCCATTTTGAATGTTGGTAATAGATAAAGATAGTGACTGTTGTGATACCTTGTATGTTTTATATACTGCTGTAATACCCTGCTGTAATACTCTGTGTTTGTAAAGGTCAATGCCTTCTACTTGTTATTGCATTACAGAATGTCTGGTGTGTTGTGATATAGTAAAACAGTGATTCTTATCCCTGACATATAACTTATCATTCACAAAATCTTTCAGAATTTTGGGTCCTCACTGCTCTGCATCTTCATACTTTATTAAACTTTTTAACTTCTTTTATTTGAGGGTCACTAATAAATCTTCTGTTGATGAAACGTGTCTGGCCTAAAAAATTATAAGCCTGGTAACTTTGAAAATTTTTTTTTTTAAGTTTTAGTTTTAAGGCAGTTCTTAATGTTTTAAGACATATTTTGGGAATTTCTATTCAGACATGTGATATACAGAAGAAACTTCTTTAAACCCTTATAACAAATATTATAAACAAACCTATATGAGATATAACTTCTACAGCAAGATCATTGGTGCACCTTGTGTTCAATTATTTATAATGTTTATCTGTAATAAAAGATTCATGGTTTAAACAAAATATCAGCCTGGATATAGTGTTATCCTATTGTGACATATCATTTATTGTGTATTACATAATGTCTGCACATAGCATTTAGTTGAATATACATGTACTGTATTTATTAGTAGTATTTTTACAGAGGAATATATGCTTTCAGTTTTATGCACAGACTAATGAAAAGGTTATACAGATAACAGTTCGTTTTCTCGTTTATTCAGAAAGTTGAATATTCAAAGAGAGACTTTGTCAAAAAATGTGGAAACAAGTAAGAAAAATATATTTGAAACTAGAAAAATATCAATATTAAAAGGAATATTCATATGCACTGCAGTTTGCTTGAGCCAAAACTAAATACAAATGCATATATTAATGAAAGATTTATGTTTGAATAATTAAGAATTTTTTATTGAGAATTTTTGTATAGAAATACATAATCAGGGTTTAAATACATGTCATCCTTACATTGTTTGAACTATAGCTTTTACAATGTTATATTCACCTTCTTCATATATATTAATTCTGTAATTATTGTATCCCCTGACAGCATCCATGTTTAGGGATCACTTCTGTTGTCACACTTTACAATAGTCTGAAACTACTTGAAAATGGCTTGACACAATTCAACCTATTATTTTAATTTTCTGGTTTGTTATCCAGAGTTATAAGATTTTAATTGTTAGATTTAAGTAAATTTTTAAAAAAATGATTTACTGATAATTTAACATAATTGTAGGAATTTTAGCTGTTTATTTTACAGCGAACCTGTTATTTCTATTTTTGATCTGAGTGATTTTTTGGAGTTTCCCATACCAAAACATGAGCTTAGTTATTTCTGCTTTTATTATTTTCAGCAGGAGAGTGATTGTTTCATTCAAACATTGTTTTTATTTTTAAGGTTTACACAGATTTTTATTAAGTTATCACTTTTTTATGTAAAAAGACTCAGAACTCAAAATTGTTGATCTATTTCAAAATTTTACACTTATAGATTTGATGCAAAAAATTTAGTTTGTCAGAAGTTTTGTTTAGATAAGGTGAAAATATCATTCTGCAATTTACAATAATGATTGTGAATTATCTATCACTCTGCAATTTGAAAAGTTATAGTTTCAGATTTCTGCTTGTCAGTTGGATATAACATATTACATATACTTCCAAATGCATGGAATATCGAAAATTATCTTCCCTACAATTTGCCTGTTTTTCGAAGAAATTTGAATACAGTACTCAATAAGTTGATAAAAGGATAAAAAGGTGGGAATAGATTATATAATGTAATATTTTGTTTTTATTCTAATCCATAAGTTACTTAGGACAAAAGTTTAATTAGAATATTTTCTAGCACTAGTCTTTGATCTAAAAGGTACAATTTGACTAAAACAGACTATTTGAAAGCAAAGTATGAGGAAAATGAGATATTGAGGTATTTGTGGATAAGACACCAATCAAAAGACACCTAGCCTAGAGGTTATCTCAAAGTTTTCAACAATAGACAAATGTCCATACAGTTAAGCAAGCTTTTAATCCAACTGAACCCAGACAAGATGTGAATAAGTTTAACAGAGATTTTGAAATATCTGCCAACAAAATAAAATACATTAAAACTATAAATTTGACTGCACAAGATGCACCTCCTGAATGATAAAACACATCACATTTTTTGTGTGTAAATTTTGACTAATTTTTTATATGGTGTTTATGGAATATTAAGTGTAATTATTTGATGCATGATCCTATATATGATATGATTATTATATTGTTTTTTGTTTGATATAGTACTCTGTTTTGCATAGTAACTGTGATATTGCTAATTTCGTTTATGTAATACAATTTTGATATAAAACAGAGTTCAGAAGAATATTGTGTTTGACAGTAGCACAATGCAGATGATGGTGTACCCTTAAATGTAGGAACTAAAGGTTTCACATCATAGCTAGTGAGTCTGATATGAAATAAAAAATGAAAACAACTCGTTATAAATTTCATGTTCAAAGCACTTTTCTGGATTTGCCTTCATCAGGAACGCTCAAAGCCGAATAGTTGAAAGCCAATAAAGTATAAAAATGGAAACAGTTGAAGAGCTATAGATATGATTGCCAAGAAGATGTATCCCTCAGAGCCCAAATGAGGTTTACTTGTGGTAATACTGATTTGTTGTAATTTTGTAGTAGAAATATACAGTCACATTCCCCTATCATAGCTCTTCTTCCCTTTCCATTACTGTGTTGCCACATATAACACATTTAAGTTGACACATTACATATAGGTCTGTTAGTTCACTTTAGCTGATTTGCTTAAATCATTTCCCAGTAGACATACCTTCTAATTTATTATAATCACAGCTCTTTTCTTTAACCACCAGCTCTAGTTATCAAAAGTTATCAATATTAACATGGACTACCATGTATAATTTAGATTCCACATTATATGCAGAGTTTACTTATTTTAATGTTGATTTGTCTCATTTTCTCCATTCCAATTCATTGTTATACCCCACAGAACAAAGTTCCATAGCGTATAATCTTTTTGACCCATCCGTCCATCCGTCCTGCTGTCCATCAGTCCAGTTCTTGTCATCTCAACTTCTCTGAAAACACACAACAGAATTTCATGAAACTTTGTAGATAATAAGGACATACTATGTAGATGTGCTTATCGACATGAAATTATGATTCAATATTTTTTCTAGGAGTTATGCCCCTTTGAACTTAGAATTTTTGCCTAAATATACTACTGCAGCAGTTTGTCATCTCAACTCCTCTGAAACCACACAACAGAATTTCATGAAACTTATAGATAGTTAGGACATACTATAAAGATGTGCTTATCGACAGGAAATTGTGATTAATTTTTTTCTAGGAGTTATGTCCCTTTGAACTTACAATTTTTGCCTAAATATACTACTGCTGCAGTTTGTCATTGCAACTCCTCTGATACCACACAATAGAATTTAATGAAACTTTGTAAATAGTTTTGACATACTTTGTAGATGTGCATATCGACAGAAAATTATGATTGAATTTTTTTTCTAGGAGTTATGCCCCTTTGAACTTACAAATTTGGCCTAAATATACTACTGCAACAGTTTGTCATGGCAACACCTCTGAAACCACTCAACATTATTTCATAAAACTTTGTAGATAATAAGGACATAATATGTAAATGTGCATTTCCACAAGAAAGTTTTATCAGTTGACTTTTTTAGGAATTATTAGTCTTTTAACTTAGGAATCTGGTGAGATTATGTTTGCCAAGTGACAATGTGGGGATGTGGGGATGTGGGGTGCTCACATAGATTCTTTAATTATCACAGTATTTCTCTTGTTTGCCCACTTCTCCCACTATAACAATTATCCCTGGTAAATGACTATATAGACCAGGAGGATCCACATCATTTGCTGAGGATGTTGTTTACCTTTTAACTGTCTGGTTTTCCCTGAAGACAACGAGATCATAAGGTGGAACAATATCAATGTAGAATTAATAGTTACTACCACAATACTACTATCTCTAGGCCACATGGATAGTTACAGGAGTTTAGGTGTTAAAAATTGGCTCTCAGCTAACATGTTGTAAAGCTGGTTTCTTGTAGCCTTAACCTGTAGACATACATAGTCTCATAGTTTACTTTCTGATTCATCACTTTCGCAGCTCTTCTTACATCTCGTATTACCTAAGTAACATAAATGTCTGTAGAGAGTAAAGATTCAACATAATAGAATAATGATTTTACGGTAACATATTGATGGTTGTTGGAACTTAAGATGTCCAATCATATATCCAATCATGCCCTGTATAACCACGGGTTATCCGATGGAGAATGTCCGTCATAAAGTTGTCACATGTTTAGACGTGTATATTAAAATTAAAATGTGATGTTTTGATGTGGCGGCATGGTAATTAACATTAGGGAGCTACCATTTGATTTTTATGGGGGCTAGGATGAAAAATTTTGTCCTGCATTTTTTTTAGTTGTAATCTCTGTTCTGCCTTTTTATTTTTCACTCTATTCGGTCCTGCCTTTTTTTTTTATTAGTTTATCCTGACTTTTTTTACATAAATTGTCATCCTGCCTTTTTTTTTTTGCCGTTGCTCATCCTGCCTTTTTTTTAATCAAAACTCCTGTCCTGCCTTTTTTTCAAATTTCATCCGAGCCCCCTCCCCCACTAAAAATCAAATGGTAGCCCCCTTATCACCCTTTACGACAGACAAACTAATTGATCATAAAGGTACACCATCTACTTACCACTATACATCATGTACTGTGTTACAACCCTAGATAAAGCCGACGAGGAAAGGCATCACATCGACCACCGAAAGCTATGTTTTATGTAGCCTAGGTCGTTGAGTGGTCTAGGGCGCTGGGCACAGTGCAGGCCGCGTGTTGCCACGATGTCACAGAAGCAAGGGTTCGATTCCCGCTGAGGGAAAAACAAAACATTGTTGGGCTAAATTTGAGATGAAATATATATATATATTATGGTGTGAGCCCTGTATTACCTGTGTATGGAGAATGTCTGTCATAAAGTTGTCACATGTTTAGACGTGTATATATATGTATATATACTAGTATACATAATAACTCTAAATATCAGCACAACAATGTTAAATCTGCAAATTTGCGGAAGCAAATTTGTGTTCTTCCCTCGCCGGGATTCGAACTCGTATGTGTGTGTATATATATATATATACAAGTCTAAATTGAAAACAACGTTCAAACCTATGATTGCGTTGGATAAAAACCGCAATTTTTATACGTGTGCATGCAAAACAAATTTCTTGGTAGAGTGGTCTAAATACAGCACAGACAACATTTTCCAAAAGACCAAAAAAGTGAAAAAGTATAATTTAACAAAACGCTTTTGACTAGCAGGTCGAACAACGGATGTTCTTAAACCCTGCTGACTGCCATGGCGATTGGCAAATAAACAGATCACCAGATGTAAAAATGGACCTTAATTTATTAATAATATACCAAACAGAAAACAATAAACTTGCGGAAAAGATGGTATACCGCAAACATAAGGTGCAAAAATTTGTACACCATATCCGGATTTCGACAATAAATGTCTCTTCAGTGATGTTAGGAATCGAAACGGTATTTGGAAGGCCATATAATTTACCTCAATTTGGGATTGACTCTTGAATTTTGAAGAGTCAAAATAGGATGAACGGATCATATAACCCGAAGGCAAATATAATACAAGCCCATACAAAAAAATATAAACAAGTCTAAATTGAAAACAACGTTCAAACCTATGATTGCGTTGGATAAAAACCGCAATTTTTATACGTGTGCATGCAAAACAAATTTCTTGGTAGAATATATATATATATAGAGTCTATAAGAATCTACCAACCAGTAAACTTAATAGGTATTGGATCATCAAAATTGACAAAACTACACAAACAGGGAAAATTATATGAGTCTAAAAGATTGTGTAACAATACCGATAAATAGATGGAAAACAAAACACTAAAAACTGTTGAATATCATCGCACAAAGATGGAAAAACTGAACAGATGATATATATTATACAATAATTGCAAATATTTCGGCTCAACAAATGGCCTTCCTCAGTGTTAAAAGTTTTAACAATACTGATATATAATGTATAAGGTGTAAACATAGATCAGTAATAATACAGGTAAGTTTTGGTCGATTGATTTTAATCCAAAATCCTGAATATCATAATATAAACATTAGACTGTAAATTTAATTATTTCTTTCTATTGATTCCATCTGGATGGAGGACACCCAGTGTTTTTATCCAAAACTTCTCCCGATTCTCTCTTTGCCTATTTTGCCATGTACAATCCTGTTCGATCACAAAGATCTTCATGTGATCAAAATCTTTCAGATTGTGATCTGGTAACCTGAAGTGTTGGCTGACAGGAATATACGGTTTTTTTGTGAGGTCACTCCTGTGGCCATTAAGGCGTTTGTGAAATGGCTGCATAGATTCACCAACATATTGGAGACCACATATAGGACACTCAAGAACGTAAATCACGTTTGAGCTTTTGCAGTTGACATTGCAGAAGATCTTGTATGTCTTTTCTGTGGTCTTACTGTGAAATGTTGATGAATGCTGCAATTGGTTGCAACATTTGCAGCGCTTATCCCCACAAGGCTGGCAATTACCTACAGTATGGTTAGGTTTGGAAAGGTCAGCACGGACAAGTATATTTCTCAGGCTGTTAGGTTGTTTGAAGGCAATCATGGGAGGCTCACGAAAGATTTTGGATAACTTAGAATGTTTCTCGATTGCTTTCCAATGATCACGAATGGTCTTGAAACTATTTCTCAGGCATGGATGGTAGGTAAGCACACATGGGATTCTTTTACTTTTCTGTTTTTCTTTGTAAGTTAGCAGACTGCTTCTGGGGATGGATTCCGCTTTTCGAAAACTATTTTTGATGTTTTTGTGTTTATATCCCCTTCTTTTCAAATGTCCTTTGAGCTGCCCCAGACGTTGTTTTGCAGTGTCTTCAGAGGAGCAGATTCGCCTTATTCTGAGAGCTTGGCTGTATGGAATGCTCTTCGTGCAGTGTGGAGGATGGCAACTTTCAGGAGACAAGTATTGATGAGTATCTGTAGGTTTAGAGTATATATCTGTGTTGATTATACCTACAGAGAGGGTGCTAGATGTATCAAGGAAGTTTATGGTGGAATTAGATGTTTCATGGGTGAATTTGATGGTAGGGTGTTGATTGTTAGCAATTGTTTATACGTCGCCTGAAAGTTGCCATCCTCCACACTGCACGAAGAGCATTCCATACAGCCAAGCTCTCAGAATAAGGCGAATCTGCTCTTCTGAAGACACTGCAAAACAACGTCTGGGGCAGCTCAAAGGACATTTGAAAAGAAGGGAATATAAACACAAAAACATCAAAAATAGTTTTCGAAAAGCGGAATCCATCCCCAGAAGCAGTCTGCTAACTTACAAAGAAAAACAGAAAAGTAAA